GGGAGTGGCACCAGACCCAGGGCTCATGGCTGGCAGGAGCCACTGCAGCAGCATGAGCCTCTCCCATTCAGGACTGATTGGGTACGAGCCTGTGACAGGCACAGTGGGGCAGGATGAGCATGAGTGGCATGTAGGAGCTGCAGGTTCCAGCCCAATTTCTGTAGGCTACCCTGAGGGACCCCACCTGTGCGTGAATTTGTGCACATGTTCTCTAGTAAATGTGGCAATTTATAAATACAAGTACATATGTGAGAAGTATGTACCATATGTAAGTATAGCTATCTGGGATTTATACTATAGTTTACTTATTGAATTGCATGCCAATACCTGATATGTCCAAGGTCCTCAAAATATAATATCAGTCATATGTCAATTGAGTGTCCCTACTCCTTGGTGACTTGGTGAATTGCTCCAAACTGTCATTACACAGCATGGAAGACTTCATAGTCCTCCCCTCTGTTTCTTAGGGTTGCCCTTCCTTTCCCTCAGCCTCTCCTGTCTCCTTAATCCTGTGACAGTGTGCACTGTTTATACTTCAGTCTGTGAATCTGAAAGCCCCAAAGGCAGCATTTTTACTCTTTAAAAAAAAGAAAACACACACACACACACTCACACACACAAACACAGACACACACACACACACACACACACACACACACACAAAAACTACTGGTATTTATGCAGAACTATTCATACTCACCCATTTCTTTCTTTTTTAGTTTAGAAACCTTACTGGAGATGCTATAGAGTACAAGAATCAGCACAGAGACTTCCTCTCTCATTTTGACGACTCTTCTCTTTGCTCTAAAGATTGTTCCACCAGTGGTTCCTTGCTGGGCTCTTCACTAACAACTGCTCTTTCCACCCTCTAATTTTTAAGGTGCTATTATTTGTGTATTTGAGACCCTGTCCCTTAGTGAATAAAAATCACATGTCTCCTTTAGATCATCCAGCAATGCTTTTAAAAAAACAACAAATCAAAACACGTTACTCCCCCAATTCCCTACTTTGTATTAAAGGCAGGAAAAGTCAATTTAACATTTTTAAATTTCTCAGATATTTGGAATATTGGATAAAAGATAGACAAACGTGGACTGAAAAACGTTCAGGTTACTGCCATTAGGTTTAAAAAGAAGACATATTCATGCTTATTTTTGATATCCACATGTTTTCTTTGATTGTTTAAAAGATTCAATTCAAATCAGAAAAGGAGTGTCTTCTTCGAATTTTTTCCAAATGGTTTTCTTTCCTGATTCTGGCTGCTGCTAGTTATTTCAGTTATTTGATTGCTTTCTGTTTCTATTTCATTGTTGATTTTCTTTATCTCACAGTCTCAGGATGTTGGCTGAGAAAAGCGGTTTAGTGCTGTGCTTCCTGTTTTGCAGCTTTTGACCTCATCACCCTGTGTTTTCTAGGTGACTGTGTATGAGATTGGTTTATATTTACTCTTGTGGTCTCACACTCTAGATGCTCCTGGTGCAGCTTGAGACTTGTTTGTTGCTCAGAGCTAGAGTTCAAAAGGTCATTCCAATATAGGTTCCTCACTGGGTACTTTACTAACAACTGCTGGATAAGTGACTAAATCCATTGGAAATACTTTGTCTAAAAATTTCTGCAGGGAAAAGCCACCATAATGCAGAACTTTGTGCCCATTATTCACACACATTCTGGCAGCATGTGTAATAGTTACATTGAGCTTCTCCCATCTGGGAACTGAGAAAAGTATGTGAAACTATGGGCCCAGTGGACAATATTTGTGCATGTGGGATGGGATCCCTCAGGAATTGAGACCTGCACCCTCTCGCAATCTGTGACCCCTCAGGAAATGTCTGGCTGCCAGTTTAGGCCCGATGCCACATCGGACATCCCTCTTGCAATCCTGGCCGGCTGGTTTTAAGCACTGGCCAGCCTGCCTGTCTGCCTGATTGCCCCTAACCACTCTGCCTGCCTGCCTCATCACCCTTAACCCCTATGCCTGCCTGCCTGCCTGCATGATAACACCTAACCACCTCTGCCTTGGTCCCCACCACAGTGGCTTTATCCAGAAGGATGTCTGGATTGATGTTCAGAAGGTCAATCTGTTATCCGGTCCGATTAGGGAATTATGTTTTTATTATTATAGATTAGAGGTCACTGTTTTTAGAAATGAGTTTGTATTTTTTAACAATTAACACCAACCTTTTTCTTAAATTTAAGATCACATAGCAAGAAGCAACAAGGAAATTGTTACCTTGAGAAGAGTTTGGCTAGGAGGCCAAACACATCATATATGGGGTCATTTTATAGCATTTTCTTCATTTGTTGCAAGTAGATGAGTGTTTGTTATCCACAACAGAAACCATTCTTTGGTTGACATCTGTACTAGCTATTGTTAACTCACCAACTACTCTTAGATCCTATATCTCTGAATCTGTCTTGGCCTTAGACACTTTGTGACTCAAGGCTTTCACCCTTTGGATGCTCTATTTAAGCATAAGACGTGGTTGTCTCAAGTAGTTTTAGTTCCTGCAGCAAGTAAAGGAGATGGGAGATTCACAGACAAAGTTCTGTCTCCCCAAAGGGATTGCTTTTATACACTATTTGTTTAATTAAACATCGATTTTTTTTTTGCAGTTGGCTACAGTTGTGTGGTTGCTTTGGGTTTCCATCAAGCTCATCTTGACGGAATACTGTGCGACATTTAAACACGTAGCAAGATGCATTTAGTAAGAGCTGCCCATACCTTAAGATTCTTGTCCTAACAATGGCATCCATCATAACACTGTACATATTTACTCTAATAACAGGAAGTTCATTCTTATTTAAATCCCACTTGATAGTAACCTATGATCCTTTTAATGTGCCCGTGAGTTCAGTTTGTTATTTTTTTGTGGAGGAATTTTGCATTTATATTTATCAGGATGATTGGCCTATAGATTTATTTCGCTTATACTGCCCTTGTCTGGATTTGATATCAGAGTTATTCTGGCCTCATAAATTAATGTGGAAGTTTTTCTTCCTCAGGCCTTTTTGGGAGAGATTGTGAAGAATGGGCAATAATTGTCCTTCAAATGTTTGCTAAAGTTCACTTATGAAACTGGTGTGGGCTTTTTCTGTTGTTGTTGTTGGGAAATTTTTTATTTCTGCTTCAATCTCCTTACTTTTTATTTTCATGCTCATATGTTTTGCTTATTTATGACTCAGTCTTATTAAATTTTATGCTTCTAGGAGTTTTATCCATTTCTTGGCATATGGCTATTCATCATTGTTTCTTATGATACTTTGTATTTTTGTTACATGCATAGTAATGTCTCTTTTTACATTTATGATTTTATTTATTTGAGCCTTCTTTATTTGAAAAAATTAGTCAAGTTAAATGTTTGTACATTTTGTTTCTCTTTTCAAAATACAGCTCCTAGCTTTACTGTTTTCTTTACATTTTCTATTATTTTTCTGTTCTCTGTTTCCTTCCTCTGCTGACTTTTGGTTAGTTTGTCTTATTTTTTTCTGGTTCCTTGATCTAAAGTTATTTATTTGAGATCTTTTCTCTTACTTAATTTATCTATCATTATACACTTCCTTTATACTATTGTAATCAGAAAAGACACTTAGGATTTTTTTCAGTATTTTAAAATGTGCTTAGACTTGCTTATATGTATAACATTTCTGGTCACTAAACAAAGGCTGCTCAGGACTGATCCACATATGGGTCAGATGTACAGAAAATGAAAGTGAATATGGGTGAAAACTGCTATCTCCACAAGGGATTGGGCCACCTAAAATTATGAATGGGTGTATGAACATAGAATATTTATTCTTTAATCAATCAAAAATTTCTGCAAAAGCCAATTGACTTTTGAAAGCTAAATAATACATGGTTGAGTTTATATTTTCTATAAATGTACAAGGTATAATGTCAAAGATGAAAAGACACCTTACAGCATATATGATGTGATATAATATTCACTTAAAGTAGAATATGATAAGTTAAAGATGCGCATTGTAAACAGTTGAGCAACCAATAAGAAAATCAAATGAGATATACGTAATAAAGCAGCAATTGAAATTTTAAAAAATTTAAGATTCACAATAAAAGCAGAAAAGTAAAAAAAAAAAAGGTAGATGGCACAAACATAAACAAGTAGAAAGAGGATGTATTTTAACACAACCTTATCAGTAATCATCTTAGATGTAAATTATGTTCATGCTCTAATTAGGCAGCCATATTGATTTTTAAAAAGCAAGACTCAAGTGAATGCTGTCTATAGGAAATCCCACTTTAAATATAGGGACACAGAGAGGTTAAAGGAAATGAATTAAGAAAGATATACTGTTATGCCCAGATTTCGTGATCCCCAAAAATCACCAGGGAGCCGCGTTTGATGGAATAGCAAAAAGCCTGTATTCGGACTAGTCCAAGCTCTTCCCTACTTACAATGATAGCAGTGTGGTGAAAGAGAGTGAGCTTCAATAGATCAAAGGGTTTTATAGGCATGGTGATGTCACTGCTTTGGCTGACCCTGATTGGTTGGGTAGGGGCTAGGGTCCAGTTACATAGTGATGTACTAAATGGAGGATCAGGAGTTAGCCCTGCCCTGCACTCTCAGTCCCCTGATTGTCTTAAGTGCATGAGTCTAATCATTGACTCATCTTACTTCCTTTAAGGGCATTCACTGTTCTGTCCTTGCTCTCCAGGCTCCTAGCATATCTAGCCTTACTTAGCCCTGGACTTTCTCACTGGCTAGTAAAAAGGATCTTACCATTAACAAGTACCACAGTTCCCATCAGTACTGCCCTTACTGAAGTACAGTTCCCTTCATGCAGTCATCACGGGTGAGGCTGCTGGTTGGTAGGATCCAGGCAGTTTTCTGGTGCAGGAGCCAGGAGTGGTGTACCCAGGTCTGGGTGCCATCTACTTTAACAGACATGTGCGTGCTCAGGATAACAGTGTAGCATCCCTTTCAGGTTGGAGTGAGTCTTTGGGCAGTGAATTTCTTCACCCAGGCTGGATGGGGGTACAGGGTCTGCAGTGGGCACTGGCAGTGCATCTGGAACAAGCTTATGGCTCCCTGGGTATACTGCAGAGCCTGTAAGTACTTGAGCAAGGAAATAGTTATGAATTCCAGTTTTCAGCTTCTCCCTGCTCCTGGGAAGGATGGAGGGAAGTCTATCATACATGATCTCAAAAGGGGGGAAACCCCTCCTGGTAGGGGGTACATCTGGCCCATAAGTGGGTGATGGGCAAGAGGTTGGTCCACTTTTCACTTTTTTCTAGAACAAATTTAGTTAAACTTTTTAGAGTCCTGCTCATGCCTGTCCTAAGGCTTGAGCTATACTTTGAGATATCTTGGCTACAAAGGCTGGGCTGTTATCTGATACTATGACTACTGGCAGCCCGAATCTAGGCATAATCTCTTAGAGTAATTTCTTGACTACTATAGAGGCAGTTTCTGCCCTAGACAGGTATGCTTCAACCTAATCTGAGAATGTGTCTATAAAAAATGGCATGTACTTGTACTTTGATACTGGTGGCTTAATCTCTGTGAAATCCACCTCCCAATGCTCTCCTGGGGAATTTCTCTAGGGCCCGAATTCCCAGGGGGACCCTCTTACCTTGCTTAGCATTTACCTGTGCACAGAGAGTACTTCTAGTGACTATGCTTTTAATTATCTATATAAGCTTGGTAGTACCTGTCTCACAGAAGTTCAGAAGTCTTGGTGACACCTAAGTGTGTAATGTTGTGTAACTGGGCAACTAAGGTCCAACCTAGAGCCTCTGGGACCAACAGTGTGTCATCTGGTAGGGTCCACCAACCATCTGGTCCTTTGATGGCTTGCTTCTGTTCAGCCAATTCCTCCTGTTTGGCGTAGGTCCAGGTCCGGCAGGGTTATTAAGATTTGTAAAGGCCCCACTGTTTTGGGGACATAATGTCCTTTCTGGCTGCAGTTGGTAACACTCTTTTCCTGTGGGTGTCACAATGTTCTCATCAAACGGCCTTGATTAATGCTAAAAGTTCAAGAACTGTGCCCAAATGATGTGTTCCAGGGTGACTACCGCTGCCCCTGCATATCAGATTCCATCCTTAAGGTTACTGCTCACATTCATGAACAGTACCTCGACTGGTGATGATGGTGGGACATCTGTCAGTACTGTGTCTGTTACCTCTATGCAGTCATGAATGGGTTCCTCTGTATCATCATTTGGAAGAAGGCTGGCAGGATTGATGGCCAGTATCTTATGGAACCAGATGCAGGGATGGTCCAGGAGAAGAGCTTGGCACAGGGTTATTCTGGTGTTTGACATTCATCTCTCTGGAGCACCTCGAAGGAGGGCCTCAATAGCATGCGGTGTTTTCAGGGCTAGCTCCTGGCCCAGAGTCTGCTTATCTGCCTCCTTAACCAGCAATGCTGTGGTGGCCACTGCCCAGAGGCACACTGGCCACCCTGCTGCCACAGGGTCTAGCCTCTTAGACAGATAGGCAACAGGTGTCTTCCAGGGACCTAGAGTCTGAGTGAGAAACCCTTTGGCATTGCCCCTAACCTCACTCACGTAGAGGTGAAAGGGCTTCATGACATCTGGCAAGGCTAGGACAGGTGCTGAGATGAGAGCCTTCTTTAGCTCCTAAAAGTCCCGTTGTTTCACTTTGGTCCAGTTCAGCAGCCGTGTTCTCTCAGTACATGTTCCTCTGAGGTCTACAGTCCTTTTTGATTTCCCAGGAAAACAGGTAGTTTGTCCGGTGGCTCCCTGACTGATGTCTTCTTATAGGTTACAGGTCCCATTGGCTCTGTCAAGACTGAATAAGCTGCCCCAGTGACCACAGGAAACTAACAGGTTTGCCCTCCACTTGTAAGGTTACCCTGGGGACTTAATGAAAAGGAGCCCCGGTCCTGTCAGTCTCCTTCCTCTAAGTTAAAGACCCTAGAAGTCTAAGTTTCTCCTTTTGCTTCTCTAGGTAACCTGTCAGGACATTCTCTCTTTCAGTTCCCCTACTTCCTACAATAGGCATACTAATTCCTTCCCATTTGCTGCTTGCTTTTTCTTCCTTTCAATACTTTCTCTGTTTCCATTAAAATATTTAGAAAAGGCAGAGGGAGGAGGGAGCAGGTCCAGCAGCCTGTTCCCAGGCTTTCAGCTGCTTGAAATTTAAAATGCCACATTTTTCCTACAGATACTGATCTCAGATTCTGATTAGCCCGAAAAGAGGAATGGGAGAATTTCTAGCTGCACCATTAAGCTCCCTAACAGAACTCAGGGAAAACTGTCCAAGGAGTTGCTGGGTGTTCTTGGGTCTCCTTGGGTTGAATTAGGTCACAAAGGAATTTCTCTCCACGCCACTGCCCACTGCCACCCCAGCTACTCTCAACAACCCCTGGAAGTGATGGACGCTGGGTGGGTGGAGACAGGAAGCATGGCTCGGGTCCCAGGTGGCAAAGAGATGCACCCACCAAGGCATTTTCATCTGGCCTGTTTCCTCTAGGCCTCCTGCTAGTAGGGGAACCGGTGACCCTACATTGCAATCAGACTCCCTGACCTTTCCGAAAAGCCCCTCTCCTTGAAGGTGTTTCCATTAATATTACTGATTTTAAAACTATAACTTAAGAGTTCACACACACACACACACACACACACACACACACACACGCGCACGGACCAAGTGGCTCACAAAATATTTTCCTTTTCTTCTAAAGATTTCACAATGCACTGTAATCATTAATCACATCAAACTTAAATGGCCAATTGAGACAAACAGTTCTGAGACCATTCCTCCACCACTGATCATGACTGGGTGGTCAGAAATAAGATTCATTTGGTTTTTGAGCTTGCTGGGCAGACTTGGTGACTTTGCCCACTCAAGCTTCATTCTTGTAAACAGTTAACTTTAGAATTTGGTGCCTGCTTTTAACCTTTTGGACCCCAATTGTTACAACTTCATACCTTAAACATGGACAGAAATTTTGTTAGGTGGGCTGATACCCCTCTGACAGAGAGCAAGCACCCCTTTGAAAAAGGTATCCCAGTGGCCACTTAGGGCGATTTGCTATATGTCAGAGCACTCAACCTTAAACAAGTTAAATTTTAAAATGTAATAATTAACTTTAAATGTTTTGGCTGCTTGTCCTTTTCTGGGAAGGTTGGCTAGCAAGAAGTGTAGCCATTTAAATGCAAATGAACACATTCTTTAAAGATGGATGCTGGCTGGAATTGGATTATCTGTAAGGGGGCAGGTGGAAGGGAAGGGCATGTCCACCCCTTCTTCCATTAAAAAACTTGTGTAGCTTTAAAACTTCTTCATGGCAAGAGACCTGAAACTTTCAGAACTTTAAATTTTTCAGGTAGCAAATCAAATACTTAGCATTTCCCAAATCAATAATACTTTTACATTTTAAAGATACATTTCATATAAAATATAAGGCATAATTAATTAATAGACTAACTTCAATTCTCTAGACTTCATGTAAGGCATACTTAGATCAACACTTCAATATTATAACAAATCAACACATTTAGATTTAGGTTTTTATCATTTGATTTAGTAAACTTCTAAATTCTTTTCAAAATGGGCATAATTTTCCTGCTGGGGAAGTCAAGAAGCAAACTCTCAGCCATTATATGTAAACCTGCTATCTACTACCTGCTGGTTACTTGCTCAGGGCGGGAAATTTGAAAAGCTGCTTGAACTGCCTTGGGAAACTAGCTTGTATTTCTTTCCCCGTTCATCTTCGCCATCCCCAAAGCCAAAAAACAAAAAACAAAAAACAAAAAAAAAACAGCCCACGGTTTTCACTCTGCACACAGAAAAGAGATAAGCCCAGCTCAAAAACTATGCATCCTAGTTTTTAAACTGGTCTTTTCCCCTTACATGAGTACAGAAATGACTGATGCATCCATGAATTTGTAAAAGCTTTAACTGATTAGCTTGAAAAAAAAAAGATGGTGAATATGAGGCTTCTTATGGTGGCTTTCTTGGGGAATGGCGTCCACATTGGATTGGCACATGTCTCCCCTCCCCCACCATCTGCCTGCTCTGGGGGGAAAGATGCAGCAATGGTCTGATATTTATTGTTAGTTTTATTGCTTTAAATTAACCTTAGTACTTTAAAATTTTAATTTAATATAGCAAATTTATAAACAAGAGCAAACTGAAACTCTTACTTATACAAACATACAATCAGAGAACACAGAAACAGACAGAGGGCCTCTAAGAACAGTCTTTCAACTCCATAGAAGCAACATGAAAAGCTTCATGCCAAACCGACAGGGGGGACCTTCCTCGTTCTAAGAGGGGATTCCACGCCCCTCCTGGGAGGATCAGAACGTCTTTTGAATCCTCCTGCCCATGGTCTTCCAACAGTGAGTCCAACTAGACCTCTTCGGTCACTACCGACATGAGGGGAGTCCACATGCACACAACTCACACAAGCACACAGACACACACTCACCTACTGTGGCCAGTCAGGCTCTCCGGATCGGGGGCCCTCAGGGACTTGGGGAACCCGGACAAACCCCCAAATGTTATTTCCAGATTTCGTGATCCCCAAAGACCACCAGGGAGCCAAGTCTGATGCAATAGCAAAAAAAGCCTGTATTCGGAATAGTCTGAGCTCTGTCCCACTTACACCAACAGCAGCATGGTAGAATAGAGTGAGCTTCAACAGTTCAAAGGGTTTTATAGGGGTGGTGATGTTACTATTTTGGCTGACCCCGATTGCTTGGGTGAGGCCTAAGGTCCAGTTACACAATGACATACAAAATGGAGGATCAGGAGTTAGCCTCCCCCTACCCTCTCAATACCATGAAAGGTGCTGAGAAACAAGATCAACAGTAATTAATATAAATGTGAGAAGTCTGGTCAGAAGGCTAAATTGGGAACTTTGATATTCACAGGGTGAATATTTGCATTTTATTACCTACTACTGAGGCAATAGCCTACAGCAAACTCCTACAAGGTGTGATAGTCTTACAATTTACTAAACATGATAATTGATATGTCTATTTGCATTTCTAAAAGACAATTGTGTATTCTAGTAAATAAAAGCAGATGGGACTAGAGACTCAGTGGAACTTGGCTACTACAGCTAAGGTTTCCCTGGTTTCACCCATAATTTTACAATTTATATTTCTTGTCTTCTGTGTTAATTTGCATGTCAGTACTTTCCCCAAGCCTTTGAACCCAAGGCCATGGTGGCCATGGCTTCACATTTGGCACCTTAA